ATGCAATTTATTTTTACTGTGATTACCACTAGTACTTTAGCGTTAGCCGCACGTTCGCAATCTGTTCATATCCTGTTCAAAATCCAAGTATTCACTCCTTCCGCGAGAAGATTTGTAGCACCAGAAATGTCTGCGAGGGTATTGCACCGCTATAAACATTGACTGCACCATTTCATGCATAGACCAGACGCGCAATGTCTTTCTCAAAAAATAAGTATGAAGGTGAGTAGCATGGCGTATCCTTTGTCGACGGGTTCCATTTTTATCGTAGAAATGACACAGGATATCCCTATATAGTGTACTATCCCCATTTTCCTATTGCCTCATATAATACCTCCGAGAGATTAGTTGAACGATACTTTTACTCTAGATGTGACCTTAATTTAACGCAAACTAGTAGGAGCAATCAGAGATAATGTGAAATATTCAAATTATTTGGAAATCAACTCACCTTACATCCTATCAGTATACCATACGCATGTTCACCTCGACTAACAGTGGAATGTCCAACTTTTTCTACTTTGGAAATACAACCCAGAGGTACGTCAAATTGGCAAATCTGTAAAACATATTGGCAACCATATGAGTTGACTATTAGGAACAGAACATGGAAAAACTTACACCATCGCTGGCTTCAAACCTCAAGCGATACCTTGTGATAAGTACTCGACCAGCGATTTTACCAATTGGGGAAAGGTAACCAATATTTCTATCTGAAAATACTTTGCTTGAAAAAAGCTTGAACACCACCAGTTAATTCTGGGACAAATGACCAGAAGCCCTTTTCCAACGTCAACATGTGAGGCCAAAAGCATTCCATTCCTCACGGAAGGAACCCATATATATCAGAATGTATCGTATCAAGTGCCCCAGGAAAGTGAGTACCTGTCAAGCGTGTTTATGCATCAAGAGTTCTATAAACCTACCCCATGGAGAACAAATATATTGAAGGGATTTTCTCTCGGAGATTGGAAGAGAGCACAGGAGCTAGATGACTCTGGGGGCGTACGCGTGATAACGAGTTAGCGATGAGCACCAAAGTGGTAGCGCTGGATATGCAGGGCAATGCAAATGGATTAGAGGCGGATTTCACGATGAAAAGGCAACCCATTGGAAATTAAGTTAGAGATGGTCAGTGATGCACGAAAGAAGAAAAATGAGAAAACGGCCAGAACCCGAGAAATGGGACCCCTTCCTTGCCCGTTGATTTGCGCATTGATGCGACTCTCATCGGTGCTGCCCTCTTCAACGCTAACGCTCTCTCTGCTGGGCGGCCAAAGACCTGTGGCAAGTGGATAGCCAGCCTCTGGGCGTGCCCTGTCGGCAGCGCAACGGGGATAGCTGCTAGATCGCCGGGGCACAGCCTTCGCCGCGAATTGTGTAACGGTCCGCACCCTTAGGGGGTCTGCCTGTCTCTCCACTAGGCAAGTTTCCCCTTGTTCGAACTTCGTTCTAATTGTGGAATCCTCCTTTCATGGCTATAGAAGTGGGTCGCCTAAATTAATCAACACGATAATTGGCTCATCCATTATTCACCGACTCCAAGTGAATAATTTACTTACCTTCAAAAACTTTCAAGCGTAACAACTGATCCTTATGGGTGTTACGACACGTATAAGGTGACTCAGGACCAGGAGTAACTAAAATATCATCTAAGCATAACTATTAGGTACCGGATATCTTAGTGTCGCTTTTCTGAGTTCAGGAAGTTTTGGGGCCGATTACTATGGAAAATCAATATCTCAGAAAGTCCTTTTTGCTCATTAATACTGCGAAATATGTTGCTTATTGTTTTCTATTGTTGGTTCACAATTTAACTTTCCCCCAATTTTTATACTTTTTTTTGAAAATTCCTGGGTCCAGTGTGCAAATTCGCATGTGTGTACCAAATGCTTCAAAATTCTTGCTGAGAGCTACAACTTCCGCCCACCAAACCAACATTGCATTTGTTGGAGGGAATACTACCATTTAAAATGCTCATCGGTTTTTCACAGTTTTCTCAAAAGACAGTGAAGTCTTTGAAGTGATGCCCGCAATCGTCGTCAAAAAGGTGGCCCTAGTTAAATCAGTCGAGACGGGGCTGCACCAGTCTTGTGCTGAAATGGTAGGACACCTTAGCAGTGACTGATCGATGATGCACAAACGCTTTAACGAAGTTGATTGCACAAGAAATTCTAATAAATGTGCTCATCTGCTACTCACGTGTGCTCAAAAAGGGTGCGTTTTTGACCCTATGTGGCAAAAAAGACTCCGGGAAAAATTGTCCAGTTGAGCTGGTAAGTTATAACTTTTCCACCATACAGTGCAGACCCTACTCTAACTAACTGTATACTTCTTTTGTCCAGGCCTAACTTTTTAGCAAGTGAGAGGGATGATTTGTCAGATGATGTCAAAACCGACCTACCTCTCTTTTTCGACTCAAAAAATTCCTAGCTTTAATCGTACGAGGTTTCCACTCATACTGGTAAATGGGAAAAAGCTGCTAATGAGTCATTGATGAATATGCTGTTTCACTCCCCGGATTCTGAATTAAAATATTGGTGGTCCGAAACTCGTGGTGAAAAAACGACACTAAGATATCCGGTACCTAATATTATAGATACAGTTGAACCTATACGTCTCAAACCGTGCGTTTATAAGGCGAGTGACAAGGGGATGCATCTACAGCGGTCTGCGACAGAGTTGAGACACCATTGGTATGTTCCTTATAAATTGAAAAAGCAAGCTAGACCCAATTTTCGAATAGCTAGCTATGAATGGAAAAGAGCTCCTGGTCATTGCTGGTACTTTCTCGAATACACTGACCAATAATTTCTATCCGTTCACCGGGTAATTGTCCAGAAAACTGTTTGTCGTTCGGTGCTACTCGTAGCGCCGCTATTTGCACCATTCCCTGCAACGTGTGATCCAACTCTACAACAATTATCAGAAAACGTTTCCTGAAGAAAGGCTCACCCATTCTTCACTCATTCCAGACCTGATTTCTGATTCCTAGTCTATATACATTCAGGTACACAGCACCCTAAGAACGAGCTTACTTTACATTATGCACTAATAAAAATATTAGCAGTATCTCCGTATTTCCCACAGATTGAGACAAAAAGAATGAAGAACAAGAAAGAATCTTTATGTCATGGCACTCTGAACACACGAATTTGAGGTACTTGAGAAGTACTGAGACAGAACCCTATTTCACCTAGAACTTTGGCAACCACTACTACCATATGTACACGGTTAAATATACTTTCAAAAGAAACGTTGCTTAACCTGGGCAATACAAGCCGTGGCAATAATTAGTGCTGTTCCGTGTAAATTACAAATACGTCATGAAAAAATAGAGCCGAAGTAAACAAAGCAGTGCAAGATAGACCAAAGTAAAGTAGTGAAGTCGCACTAAAAATACTACAAATTGTAGGAAAACTAAGAGAAATGATGACTAATAAAAAAGTGGAGATGATACCGAAACCAATCGTGAAGCTGGCCAGACTTGGGGATAGATCGCCAGCGCTCTGAAAAAGTAATAGTCACTTGCTTCAATATATCGCACGCCAACGTGAGCACGAGCACTCCAGTAACTGATCAAAGACAAAACTCGCGATACGCTGATCTCCTTGAAACGAAGAATTGCGGTGCCAAATGGAGGACCAAAAACAATCGAAACGATCAAAAACCCCAGGAACGGCACCCTCTTCCCCCATTAATTTCAGACTTAGATGAGTTAACCAGGGCTGCAGGTGTTTCGGCGGCCGTTGCAACAATATGCCTTTTGGAATCATACCATCAGTAGTTATTCTTATGCTGTCGTTATGTGAACCCCTTTTGCGCAAAAATCATCCATAAAGCGAAACTGAAGTTAGTGAGATTTCAAGAATATGGGAGACACTCCCAAAAAGAAACCAAGCAAAAGGTCGGGATAAGACATGCTTGGATTAAACTGAGCCCTTTTTTACACCTTGCAACTTTGTTGTTATGGTGCTATCTGACGCGGAAGTGCCAAATATCGCCTACAAGACCTTACCCAACCTTTTTCACTACTCAGCTTCCTCTTTCATGGAATCAACTTCATCGCGAGTTTTGTCTTCAAGCCTAAAATATTAAAGGCAACTGAAAGAGGGACTAGTCCATATACAAACAAACATGCTTCTAATAAACTACTAAGAAAATGTGCGAGTTTCGCCTGATAGATTCCCGAGCCTGAATCGGCTATCCTAACTTTATGGGATGACCAACCCTCATCTACAGAGAATTGTACTTTAGACTGTATTATCTACCAAAAAAAGAACCATAACCTATTGCTTGGAAAAACAACGTGAACAGATGACAATACCACACAAGTGCAAACCTACCATGGTGATTGGCACAAGCCCAAAACATTGTCGTCATCCCACTGAACAAGAGATAAAAAGTAATTAGAACAAGCGAGTATCCTTTCGAAAAAAAGGAACACGATCTGTATCCTCCCAGAAAGTCGCTATATTCTGTCTCCTACCTGCCATAACGTTCGCCATAGACTTGGACTCTGCGTAGGCAAGTGAAAATGTGACCACAAGAGGGAATCCGGTTTTGCAAACCCCATCAACAGGACAGAAACGCTAGCATTCGCCAAGGGATCACCTAGACTGGAGCGATTCTGCGATGACAACACGGCGATTACCAATTCGATATTCGGGAAAAGTGTTGGAAAAGTGAGCAAACGCATTTTTTTAGAAGAAGGCATGCATGGCTTCGTCCCCCTTAAACGAAGACGGTAAACTCATACTCTCCTCATGCGAAAGAGACTTAAGCAGACGTTGCTGGGTTTACTCGAGGAATTCGAAATCAGCGAGCACCACTATGGTCGATGCGTGATTTTTCCAGATTTCAACTCGTAGGTAGGAAAAATGAACTAAGTCAGGTGTATTTAGGAGGGAATTCAATTGTTGCAACGGAAATGTACAGATTTCAACGTTCTGCTGACCCACGGCTTGTCCCAAACCCTTTGGGAGCTCGCGCCAATCCCAAAAGATCAAGCACATATAAAATGCCAGAAAAGGCAAAACAATAGCGACTGGCGCTACTTACACATTCCGCAAGCCTTAGATCGTCAACAAGTTGTTTATGGGCTATCGGAAATATTAAGATATTGGGATGGATGGTAAAAAAGTCCTGAGCCGATTTTTTGAAAGCTCCAGAACTTTCGCTTATTGGTCGATACCTAGAATCTGCTACGTGATAGACTATCGTTGTCGATCATACTTCTCCGCAATAGGTATATATTGCCGGGTTGCCTTCTTTAACTTTAATAATGATGGTGATTCCACAAGAACACTTTCGAGCGATCATCTTCAATGAATCGCGCTGCGGCACAGGAGCAGTGGGAACCGTCAACATTATCAGCATCGCATTGGGAAGGGTCACCACTTCCATCATCAGTGCCAAGCTCTGGTTCGCAGGCTTCGAAGGAGGAGACACGGCTTTCAAAGAAAAGACAAGGTTGGGAAGCCCCAGAAGGTAGAAGACTCCACCGTTCTCGGCGCTGTCGAAGAGGGATCGCACGTTTAGACCCCGCGGCACTTGCGATAGCTCGCGGTGCACCCATCACAGTTCCTCCATTGCTCACGCCCTTTCGCCACTCTGGAAAGTGCCGACTCGATGGATCCTCATGTCTTGACCGATAGCACGCGGTTCAGGCGGGTACCCATTTGTCAGTTTCTCCTTCTTTGTCCGCACCCGAAAGGGGTTTTTGGAAGGCGTGATTACGAGAGATGAGAGTTGGGTCCTATACGATTCTAACAAGCACGGTGCCGTGTGGCTCCCTCGAAGAGAGGGCCTGCCGACACAAGCAAAATCGGACCTTCACCCCAAAAGCTGTCTCCTTTGCTACCTCTGGGATTCGTGAGGAATGCTGTATTATGAGATGCTCCCGTAAAGACATACCGCTACCGGCAGCATTTACGCCAGTCAGCTCTAGAAACTAGCGGACGCTGTTCAAGAAAAACGACCGAGACGAACTTCTGTCCACCTACTCCACGATGACGCCAGGCCCCACAATAGCTAAAGAGACCCGTGCAGAATTGGAAGAGCTGATCTGGGACGCGGTTCCCCATCAACCCTATTCCCCTTACATTGCCTCTCTGATTATCACTTACTCCATCCCCTTAAGGCATCCCTAGCGAAGAAAAAATTCACCAAAGTTAAAGAAGTTGGAAGAGCGGTCAGCGATTTCTTTGACTCTCAGTCTGCTCAGTTCTGGGAGAAGGGGTCGCTGACCTGCCCATTAGGTGGGACTCTGTAGTGAGTAACAATGGTGATTATATTGTTGAGTAGATTCCATTGTACGCGGAATAAAAAGTAAAGCACAAAAAAGTGTCAAACGGCTCAGGACTTTTTCGTAATATTATATGAGAACACATTAGCTGACTTCGAGGAAAACATGTTAATTTACAAGTGATCCTGTTGACTAACCGGATGTCCAGGTTTCTCACGATACGTATTCACTGCTTGTATGTCGAATTTGAATAGTTCGACTTCACATGAATACGCTTTCGGTGTGAGTTTTATCACAGTGTGAAGCGGTACCTTGAGGTAAGGCAGCTCTTCGCGATTTTTGTTGGTAAAATATGCCAGGATGCAACGAAGAACCGCCTGAAACAGCATTCCAATGCATTCCTAAGAAAGAAAGGTATTTGAAGTTATAGGAAAATTATCCACGATTACCTGGTGAGAAATAACGAGGACGTCAGACTGACGTTCGAGTTCCATGATCACAGGCTCAAGCCGTGCCACCAGATCTTCATAGCTCTGCAAAAATTTCAATTTGTTCGCCAAAATTGATGGAAGAAGCAGACCTCCATTACTATGCAAACCTACTTATTCAGCTGCATTAACATAGCGGCAGGATGTAGGACTATAGAACGACCTGAGATGAATTTTTAATGAGGACAGCAAACTCACTTCACCACTTGGGTATCTGTAATGGTATTTATCTCGATCACGTTCGGCAAACTGTTTCGGATACCGCTCTTCGAAATCCTCGTAAGTCAATCCTTCACAAATGCCCTGGAAACGCTAAATAAGTGACCAAGAGTAATCCATGCCGTCTAGGTTAACAAGTTTTTTTCTTTAGAGCATAAATGGATATCGCAGACGACATACCGCATCAATTTCATCGAGCACTTTCCAGTATTCGACATTTGCGGCCAAATCTCGCATGCACATGGCCGTCTGTGCAGCGCGTATCTTCTGTGATGACCAGACTCTCAAGTCCTTCAAAGACTCTTTCTGAAAATCAGATCTTTAGAGGAAAAACTAATGAATATGCTCAGCCTAAGTCAATGCACATACTATAGTTCTCACACTACCTTAAAATATTCTTTGAGTTTCTGAGCATATTTGTGGCCGTTTTCACTCAAAGGACTGTCTCCTCCCAATCTTCCAATCTGGTTGTATTCGCTTTCACCATGCTAAAAAAAACTAATCGCTTAACGTAAAACGTGAATTTTGCAATTTCGAACATCGTATGGGAGAAGATGCGATAACTTTATCATTTACTAGCTTTGCAGCTTTAGGAAGATCTGAAAATCTTACACGAGTGAGATAGATACTGCGTGGTAACAGATGAATATTCATCAGAAAATACACAACTCTGCTTTGGATATGACCTTTCACATTGTGAACGTAGAACGACTTTCCGGCATTTATCACCTGAAACCAGAAAATTGATCTCCTTTCACAGACTTCGTGGTACGAATCACTGGTTCCATGGAAGAAGAAAGTTGAGATTCCAACCTTGATGAATGAAAGTGCGTCGTCAATGTCCTCATCTATCGGCTCATACTGCAACCTATAATTCTCAATCCTTCTGACAAAGTCCTCTTTCGCCTGTTCTTGTGTCATTTTTCCTTTGTAATCTGGAGAGTTGATCTTGACTTCCTAGAACAGTCAAACGATAAGCACGAATAAGTTAACTAGGTGACGATTTTGAGCTCAAACGCTTCTACTGCTGTCTTCTAGTCGTGCTCAACACAAATTTTCTAATCTTTGAGTGCAGTGCGATTAATCGTTCTGTAATCCATCAAACTTATGGCCAATCTTGGTAGTTCTGAATGCCGCAGGTGCGTTCTATGCTCAAAAACGCAGTAGTCCTCGTAGAGAAGTTGTAAGACAAGCGCGAAGGAGTGGAGGATTGGGGAGTGGGGGGGGGGGGAGGGGGGAGGAATGAGAAGCACCATGGTAGAAAAGGTTCAGAAAGAGGAGTTTCATTTGCATTGTTAAGGCCCAGTGCCTCAATCTGGATAAATTCTGAGGAGCCTTATCATAAATCCGACATACTACCAGTT